CACGCTTTTGCACAGTTCCACCTTGCCACATCCCACCGATTCACTTGAATTCAGTTCAGTTCAGTTGAGCTCTATTCAGCTCTGCTCTGATCTGATCTGCTCTGCTCAGCACAGCACACCACAGCTCATCTCAGCTCAAATCAACTCAACTCAACTCATCTCTACTCAACTGAGTTCAGCTCAATTCAGTTCAGAGTTACCTGATTGGGAGACACTGTAGTATTGTCAACCATGCTGCTTGTCATGCGATCATGGGGAAACTACCAAGTGATATCTATCATCTCGGAATATCTGTCTTCTGAATGCTTTACTCCAATCTATCAAAGCGACTAACTGGTTCGGAAACGACAGAGTGAACAGGAGATGCGAAAGGTGGCAAGCAGAGTTCACCTGAACTGAGATAACAGATGTCGAAACCTCTCAAGATATGGATAGTCAAGAAGACTCTGTGAACAAGACTCCAGTTCGATTGATTAACAAGACAAGTTGACACGGATCATCATCGACACCTCCCACAATCATCATTCTCAGGCTTTAGAATCTGACGTAAATAGTAGTCACTCTATAAATAAGAATAATCCTTACACTGTTCGCACAGGTCTACGATTGGAGATCAGGTGGTTGGGCGTACACACAACTGTCAGTGGAATCCATCATCGATGACCAATGTCACAGTCTTCATTCAATTTCTTCACAGGTGTAAGGATGCAAGTCAGCCTGATTGAGTTTGGTCACGTAGAGATTGACTTGTCACCAGGGAAGAGTCTCGTCGATTTAGAGTATCCGGAAGATAAATATTCCTTCTAGGTGAAGACGCTGGCAAAATGCAGAGTCTTGTCAACACCTTGTGCAGAAATCTGAGTATGTTTGGCATGCGATTCTCACTGTCAAATGTAAGATGATTCTGCAGGAGAGGTTCCACCGACTCCTAGTTTAAGGATAACACGTGAAATAGTCGAGCGTGTTGACCACCTGACTTACTCGTCAAGTCGCATCAGCCCCGATCGACTGATTGATGACGAAATCTCAGCACGGAGATAACAGGCTCGTTTGGGATTTGCCAAATCACGTCATCTTTGGCTCAAGCGTGATATCTGGCTATCCATCAAACGAAGTGCATACTGTGCAGCACTCCACTCCACCCTTCTTCACGGCTGTGAAACATGGCCACTGAGAGTGGAAGACATGAAGAGACTAGCCGTCTCTGACCATAGATGTCTGCCTTCTACCTCTCGTCGTACGTTGTATAATACAATATGGTGCAGATCCCTTCACTCTTCGTCATCTCTCGGATCCATTCAGTGCTGATTATTCTGCGTGCAATTATTCCCTGACTCCCGTGCATTTCCCCTTATCACAGCGCCTTTGCACGTTTTGGCCTAGCTTTGTGTGCTTCTATGAAGTGTGGCGACTTGAACTGCTGCACGCTTTTGCACAGTTCCACCTTGCCACATCCCACCGATTCACTTGAATTCAGTTCAGTTCAGTTGAGCTCTATTCAGCTCTGCTCTGATCAGATCTGCTCAGCACAGCACAGCACAGCACACCACAGCTCATCTCAGCTCAAATCAACTCCACTCAACTCAACTCAACTCAACTCATCTCTACTCAACTGAGTTCAGCTCAATTCAGTTCAGAGTTACCTGATTGGGAGACACTGTAGTATTGTCAACCATGCTGCTTGTCATGCGATCATGGGGAAACTACCAAGTGATATCTATCATCTCGGAATATCTGTCTTCTGAATGCTTTACTCCAATCTATCAAAGCGACTAACTGGTTCGGAAACGACAGAGTGAACAGGAGATGCGAAAGGTGGCAAGCAGAGTTCACCTGAACTGAGATAACAGATGTCGAAACCTCTCAAGATATGGATAGTCAAGGAGACTCTCTTAACAGGACTGCCCTTTTTTCTTTTTCTCATCGTAATTATATGGAATCATCATTGTGATGGTGATGCATTTGGCATGTCACATTTCTGCATTTTTATTTTTTTATTCAGTTTATGCTGGTTTTTTTCTTGTCTCTGTTTGTTTTGCTTCTGTGCAGGTGTTCGCGTGTTTATAGTTTTTGAGTTTGTAGTCTTCATAGTGTTTTGGTTTAATTTTTTTATTTGATTTTGATTTCGATTTACAGCTTGATTCCACACCGTATTTTCAGTACAAGTGTGGAATTTTCAGCATGGATATCGGTAGCCCAAATTCAGGCCGACCATAGATATCGGGTGTGCGCCGGCAGGGGATCGAACCCCGGATCATGTGCATGGTCGGCGAGAGTCCTAACCACTGTGCCACCGACGCACGTTAAGGGACGTCTCTCTGTCTCGGTTCATGTAGTTCTTGTTGATCTCTGAGTCTGTTAATGAAGTGTTTACCTACGGTAAATGCTGCATATTTCAGCTGACCGGTGAAAAGCATTTCGGTGATTTTCATCTAATCAAAATACATAACAAAATTTCATGTAATTTCAAATGTCTCAAGAAAATTATATTGGGAAAGAGACAGGAGAGTGAAAATGGCTATTGAATTTATTGCATCATATCACAGGAATGAAGATTTGGAAAAACGCAGTTTAAAGAAATTACATCCACAAAGAAACATGACAACACGAAGAAGTGTTTAAGAAACACTCATTTTAATAGTTACAGTTATGTGAATTAATAATACATACAATGTATGAGTATGTTGAAAGCTTCAACCTATTGTGCTATGCAGGAAGAATAAGTTTCTAATTCATAGAGATATTGAATTCGTATATAAAAATGCACCGCGAATATGAATTCAGATCTATTGACCTGTTTTCATTAGATATTATGAGTATGACCGTTTTCAGTCAGAATCTGAGTGCAGACCAGCAATCTCCTCTTCAGAGCCACCGATTGCGCGCCAAATTTTACAGGTTATCTACAATAAGGTTTGAGAGAAAAGAAATCGTTGGACAAAAAAGTCATTGTAATAATATTCCCTGATCAAGTGATCAGGCACGTTATATAATAGGGGAAAATGTACCATACGAAGCGATAATATTATCCATTCTTGAAAAAAACTTCTGAGTAGATTTCAATCAAACAGGTGAAGAGTCAACCTCATAGAAAGTAGTGAAAAAGCTACAAGGAACACATGTTCCCATAACTTTGTTCAGACACATAAACAGATAACCAGCAGAAAATTCAAAATTATTTCCAACGGTAAACATACTGGACTACTCATTTACACTAATTACATGTTGGTATCCCAGAAAGTATCACGCGACTAGAATTACCTGAAAAGTTAGTTATGTCCATCTTTTAATAACTGCTTGAGATCTGTAACATGTTGGAAATCAGTGCTTGCGGATTATAGGTGACACCGGTTAAAAACACTGTAACTACTGTTTACTTTTTTAATAGTTTAATCTTATCACTGTGGATCCACTGTTGACTATTCACTAATATCCTTATCTCGATATAATTTCACTTCCATTGTTTGAGCTGTATTAGCCTAAACTCATATCCTTTGCAAGTGACAAATTAGCACGAAAAAATACAGAAGAATTTGATGAGTTTATCACCAATGACGCTTTATACTTTAGAAATTCAATTTGGGCTGTGGAGCTCAGAATGCCTATGCATCAGTTACAGTTAGTAGCTGTGAAAACTGTCGACTAATAGAAGCTACTCTGGCTTGGTATCACAATGACTCGTCGAGTTACAATGGCTGGAACGAATGTCCCTGAAGGTCCCACCATTGCAGAAGGGTAGTTAACATCAGAGTGATCTGGGGGTGAATTTGTACTGCTGACGAATAGAGATATAACAACAGGAAGGCATCTTCCTCTGACTGATAGAAGGTTAGCCATACTACCTTTCAAGTTTGGGGAGAGGCTCTGAAAATTTCAAAGACCGACCTACTAGGCGGTAAGAACTTCATGCAGACACAATTCCAAAACCTATTACAAAACAGGCGGTCTGTGACTGGTCTCAAGTAGTTGTCTTCTGTCTTCTCCGGCCAAGCGACAGTAATCCTCCTTCACTTTCATGTATTTCAAGAAATCAACTTCTGCAGTGTGAGCAGTCGGGGAATTATTGCCATGCACGCACACACACATTGCAATAAGCACAAAAAGCTTTGATGTCTGAAAGCTGACTCGACCACATCGATGTCGTACATCTCTTGTCCGATTGAACAGACCCGTAAAAATTGGAAAGACTGTGATGTTCATTGATGCCTTTTCGTGACATCAGCTTATGTACTAAAGGAATGTAGTCCAGACAAAGCGAAGCATAAGCTTTATCAAAAGCTGGTTTGTTTGCTGCTAAAAACTAAACGCTCAGACGGTTATCTTAGCAGGTGACAACAATGCTCCATTAGACAAGGTGTGACAGCCAAAAAAATACGATGGATGTATCCAATAAGTCCCAAAACAGTAAACCAACGACGATGATGATTGTATTTTATGATCATGTTTACATAATGTGTCCCTGATAAGAAATTATAAACACAAGAAGAAACATTGACTAACCTGGTAATCTCTATCATATTATTCAATTTCCTCACAGTTGTAAGGATGCAAGTCAGCCTGATTGAGTTTGGTCACGTAGAGATTGACTTGTCACCAGGGAAGAGTCTCGTCGATTTAGAGTATCCGGAAGACAAATATTCCTTCTAGGTGAAGACGCTGGCAAAATGCAGAGTCTTGTCAACACCTTGTGCAGAAATCTAAGTATGTTTGGCATGCGATTCTCACTGTCAAATGTAAGATGATTCTGCAGGAGAGGTTCCACCGACTCCTAGTTTAAGGATAACACGTGATATGGTTGAGCGTGTTAGCCACCTCATTTATTTCTATAGGGAATCGTTACTAGGAAATATTCAAGTTTGATATTGTGATCCTGCATCGATTAAGATGACTAGGAGAGGTGTTATGTATGGAGATTTGCAACAAGAGTTGCTAGCTGAGCTGGGGATCTATTAGTGAAGATTGCGAAGTGATCAAGATTTTATCAGTCCACATTCACATATTGGTACACCCATTGACTTTGTATCGGTTTCGAAGAGAGCAAAACACACCTATCCCTGCCTATTGAAAGACGAGACCGGCATGCAGTATCATCCTCTGGCGCAACCATTCACAGACCTCTCTCTCGGTGGACCAGTTAACAGTCACAACTATGCTATTTTGATTGTAGGAGTTGAAAGTGATATCAAAAGGGAATAAAACGACACGGCAAACTGACATATTTTTGTCAGTGTATGACTACAGATTGCAGTGTATAAGTCTAACAGAAAGAAACTGAATAACTTTATACATATGTTTTGTGACCCAGAAAGTATTCAATATCTAGTAGTAAATAAAGTTTCACAACTTACTTTTTCAGCCATTTTATATCTATCTGAAGAATTGAGAGAAGCTATTTCTTCACGCAATACTGGTAATTGTTTGAAAAGATCTTCGAAATTATCTTCATCACACGTTGACGAGTCGGAAGTCTCTGGGTCATTGTTTAAATTCAAGTTATTTACACCGGTAGACAGATGATTTTCTGATTTCGACTGGTTATGCGTATCAGAAGATTCATCTTTTTGTCTCAAGTGGTTTGATTTGCTTCTGTTACTCATTCCCTCTAAACAAAACAAATAAACAGGGAAGATAATATCAATAATAATCATAATAATGGATTTACTGCAAACTATACTTTTGATATATTTGATAAAATCATAGTCTTAGTGGAGATAACAGAAATCTTATAAATGACCCTGACATCTTACAATTCATAAAATGTAGAAAAAAAATACAATTAAATAATATATCAGGGATGTTGGATTACTGCACCTCATAAAAAGTATGTTGAAAATACTTTTTCTATTCAGTGCACATAGTAATTTGTAAAATCAAATGCGAATCTCAAAATTAAGCAGAAAAAAGTGCATAGAAGCACAGCTAGTTGAAAAAAAACATAACAATAGTAAGGAAGCCTGAATTCAAACACAGCTGGAATTAGCTGACGACTACAAACACCAGAATTCCTTTATTCAGGGTACTTTACAATATCTGTGCTTGAGAAGCAAATTCACGTTATTTTCTTTTAAAAATGAAAAACAGATTTGACTAAACCCAGCACTGATAAGTGTAACACACACACGAATTAAATGTTAGCAGTTTTGGGTTCAACCTTAAAGATCAAATATAACAGTAGAACTCATAAAAAGCACATGTGCTGTCATTTGTAGCTTAACACTCGTTTTACAGTTGTTCAACTGTAAATATTATTTTGCAATACCTACAGTCAGTGTTATGAGTGAATGGAAAGATATAAAGAAACAATGCCAACCACCAGTAATAGTTAAGAAAACTGAAGAAGAAAGTATAGCAAATTCATTACTAATTCAATCGATAGAATCAATGTGTGTGGAGGTACATAAGCATTTCTTGATCAGTAATAATAATAATAAATCCACAAGATGAATACAACTAATTGATGTGAGAAATCAGACATCGCTAACAATGATGTTCCACCAAAAAATTCTCCATACACAGTGCATTGTCCACTTCCAACTGAAGCAGATGTCATTTTACCATTTAGTGGAGTTTAGACAGTCTAAAACCACAAGCCTTTTCATATGTCGAAAAATGTAAATACCGAATAGGGCAACTATGCATTATTATGGGAATCAGGATGACTAATAGAAACTCTTCGGTGGAGCGTTAAATTTTCCAGTCATAGAAAACAGGATACAGAAGTAAATTCATAAATACTTTAAGAGATCATAAGATAGTTAAATAAGGGTTTTAAAGTATTTTGTGATCACCAAACGAAAAGGAACTTTTGAAAAAAATGTATTGATAATAGTAATTTTACCTTTGAGTTTCATGTTCGGCCACATATATGCCTCAAACACAGATTTTATTCGTTTTACGCCATATTCTTCATCTGAAAAATACCATTTGTAGCCTTTTATCTTTGAGCAATGAAATACATGCATTATAAAATAAGTAGTTGTATTAACAGTAAACTTTAAAATATGTATCCGTAAAATTTAGGATAATGCCAACAGCTTTTATTACATTGTGATTAATATGTCTACAGTGATAATAGTTACTGACACAGGCATAAACAAAGATGAAACATAACATGGGTCGAAACATAGAAGAAGATATCTAAACGTAAACACCAAATAACACGAAAAACTTATCTAGTCAGGTCTCAGGAAAAATAAATATTCATTTGGCTAACATTATGCTTCTTGTCCTGGAGGAGCTGAACAATAACAGAAACAGCAGATTATTTCCGCTCTCTCTCACACACATGTAAACCGCAAGCCGCTTCATCCGTAATTTTTGTAGAGTCGTATAAGTGCAACTAGTGAGGGGGTAATAGCTAGCCTTGAGCCTAGTTCGGCCTGATAATTGACAGAAGCAGCAGGTGCTATCTGCCTATCTGCGGGGGATGACATTCATGATCACGCCATAGGTAGCTGATAACAATATGATCCATTTGAATTCACGCCTTAATGACGGAGGAAGGACGGCAGTTAGTGCCAAGGAGATGGGCGTGTCAAAAGTTGATGCAAGCTAAATATACGTTTTGATCTGCACAACCATTTAGTCCCGACTCCTATGAGCGCCAGACAAAAGCATTCACGTTCTCAACTCACACCACAATATTTGTTGGATGCACAAATTTGAGAAATTCACTCATTCTTGAATGCATCCAAGCTGTAATCTATTGGTGTAAAAGCAGAGATGAAGAAAAGGTAACACTTTCCTAGTCATTTGTTTCTCATTCTAATATCACCTTTTAGCCTCACAGAACGACTGTTAATAGGGATTTAATCGAGTAGTAAGGCGTTTAATGTAACACCGAAGCAAGCTAAGTCAGATCTTTATACCAGTTCCCGAATAACTACATGTGGAACGTGCAATTTAATCTATCGAATGGAGAAGACATTCAAGACACTTTACTGACATTTTGTCTACCAGTTTCTATGACGCAACACATCAGTAGTGAGACATTTTAGGGTTCTAGTCAGAACTCCATGTTGTCTGATACGCACCAAAGTGCGAACGTTGTAGGCGACAAGTACAAACGCGACTGTTTCAGAATAGCCGTGTAAGATAACGCACAGGAGGCCAATTGTCTGAAGACAACTCAGTAGCAGCTTGAAACTGTAGACATATACTCAGATTCCAAACAATACCGAGAGCCTGACAAAATTAGAGATATTAAAAGCGTAAAGATGGTAAAATAGGTTAATATGAAAATCGAAATAACATGAAAAGCAATCAAATCACTCAGCATACGATTTAAGATGTAAGTTGTGCGTGTGCATGAGAGCACGGTTTTTTGTTGATTGTTATTCCATGATTTATATATATATATATATATGTCTGTGAGACAGAGGGGGAAAACGACGGATGATCATATCATGACCTGGTGTCGTGAGATGTAGGATAGTTGTGTCAGGTTAGCTTTGAAGTTGCATCACAACTTCCAGGATGAGCTCCGAGCAATAGTCCAAATCAGGGGGTTGGAGACGCTATTACATATGATTGAGAACCGTAACCAATGGCGAACATGCTGCAGTTCTCTCCTACCCGTTATTTCTCACAATAACACGAAGTGATGCTCTTGATTAGTACACCACTGTTTTTCCTTATAATCTTGATCCTCAATTGTTCTGCCTCCTTTCCATATATTATTTTTCAGCATTTGTTGTGTGCCACGTCTCTTGATGCCCATATTGTAGCAAGTTTGTATTTAAATAATATAATAAAAATTGTGGATTGGTACTCCGAAGCCTAGACTATTGTGCCATACACAAATTTAGGTGAATTAATGAAATCAGTACAAAACATCTGAATATTACCGGATAACAACTGCAAAAAAATTTCTTACCTTCTTCAATAGTATCTTCAGCAGGTGAAATTTCAACTAGCTCGAATACATGGTCCAGAACTGTATGTATGACAGCTGATGCTGCATCTGGCTCTGAATGAAGCAAGGCAGATGGGATAATAGTGTGGCATACTAACAGACGTATGGCTATATCGTGTTCAACAGCTAAACGCATAAAGGCAAGAGCATCATTCCAGCTGGAAACCTTGAAAGGAATACCAAAATAGGTAAATTAATACTTAGTACGCCAATACCTTCTTTGAGTGGATCACGGGCACCTGATACCACAGAATGATTATAATGCAACCCAGTCGCCATGGACAGCCTTTATATGAACTAGATGTAGTGCGAGAAGGTTCACGATACTGCTTGGTTTTCCCAAACCAAATTTGATGGAATGTGGCATTAATTTAGAGACAACTTTGTTGGAAATCAAGTGCTACATTCATTGAAATGTGCCTTCGGGCTTTATAAACTACAACATGTGCAGAGTTGACCTCGAAAAGTGGTTTCCGACTTGCGTATTACAAGTTTAAGCCACCTTTTTTCTTTGAAGTTCTGAGCAGTCAAGGGTGAGCATTATCCCTTACATAACAGTTACCATTTGTGGTATAAAACTTGGACAAAGATAAAATGACCATTACATTTTTCATTTGTTGTCATTTATTCGAAGTGGCTTCAATACTTCCGAAATGTAGCAACCATAGCCAATCCAATGTAATGCCACCCACACAAGATGGAGACTAAATTCAGTATGTATCGAACCCTAAAGGTAAACCTAACAATTTATAATCAAAAATAATTTTATACTTACAGATACGAATGTTGTAAAGTTAAAGTTAGGATTCTAATGAGATGTAAATTAGTGAATTCTAGTCCAAAGATTTTTTTAGTTAAATTAAGTGATTTAACTGCTCATCAGGCTTTTATACCGATTTATTAATTTGTGCATAGTAAAATAAACGATAAAATTTTACTGAAAATTCTACACCGCCTAACTTTTCTGGATTTTTGATTTCTGCTTTACCAAAGGTCTTTGTATATATACACCTACAACAAAGTTTATTTAATATAGGTTAGAGCATGTGGAACGAGATTACTGGTAGAAGGTAATCTTAGGACGGACAAGATATCACTGTTAACCTTAAAATCAAGTAACCAAGTTAGCTTGTTAGGCATTAAGCGACTTTTTTACCCGGTGTTAGGACTTAATGGTCGGAAACCCCTTATGATGTTTCAGTTAACAGGAACATCTGATACCTAGCTGATGTCCAGTCACAAAAGCGTTAACACAGTGATGGGAATATTACACCCAGGCTCCCTATTTAGTTTCTCATACCATGATGAAATGTCACTGTCTGGTGCTATAAAGTGTTTATTAGAAAACCAGTATTTCCGAGCATACAAAATTATATTTATAAAACCAGAGCCCTCACCTTGTCACCGTCGAAAAAGATAATCATGCCATGAACATTCGACAGTTCTGAAGGATTGTTAAGAACATCGGTCTTCAATGCTGACCGTACAATTACATCAGCAGTGTAGTATTTGCAGTCAATTTTCAAGGAAAACTTAGACTCATCTATTCTAACCACTTTTTAAAAAGAAATAAACACTGTCTTGATACATACGGTTTGCGAAAAATGTTTCCAAACTATTTGGGCTTTCTGAAACATTGATGAAAACAGTTTCAGGTGTAGACATCACATAACCTTGACAATATCATATTTTGCGCCAGGTCAGACGGGTTACAGATATAGGTTTTCGTTCATGCCTGTGGAAACCGTTTCCTAGTAAATATATTTTCTTGTTTATTCTTTCACCGAATGAGTCCATTCAGAGTGTCTGAGTAACTTTTAGACAAGTGCTGATTACCTGGCTTCAGTTTTTTATTTCTCACCTTACAACAAATTCCGAATGAGCAATCAGCACTTCACTACTTATTCCGGTAAAGGAGCTGCATGTTGTCAGTAAAGATCTATGCGACGGTTTGCTTTAGTTTTCGGGTACTTTTTCCACGTGGTATGCGCTAACACATGAGTGACCGATGGATCAGGTCATACACTTAGTTGCGCCTGGATAACAGATTCCTGAGATCACTTTGAAGCCTGAGAATAGAGCTGTGATGTTCAAGCTTCTTCTTGAGTCCGGGATTTGATGAACTGAAGTAAAGGACCGACCAATAATAAATCTTGTGGTACAACAAATTTTTAATTCATGGAAAATTTTGATTAAAACATATTGAAAATCAAAATAAGTGATTCAGCGAAGGGACCCTTTTCAACGAATTTATTATCAAGCTGTACAATCGTATACATATGGCATTTAAGAAGTTACATCCGGTGAGGGAATTGAATCATAGGTGTGAATGCATAAAATAATAATGACAGTGTGAAATACAATTAGCATTAAAATGTTTGTAGTTATTTTTTTTATTCCTTCACGTTCCCAGTGGAACATAGTGCTTCAAGCTAGAGGCCTCGAGTTTCTGTAGCAGTGTTTATTTTTACAGGATGGGGATGCTAGCCTCATGCCCAACCTTTCCTCTTTACCAGTCTTATTACGGGCTTGCCGAGGCAAAGGTGTGCGTTGGCCGAGGATCGAACCCCGGACCATGTGCATGGTTGGCGAGCGTCCGAACCACTATGATTACAATAATGGTTAAATGTCAAGTGGCAAAACAATTAATGCCATTTATAGAATAATTCATAGGATGTATAGGACTTGGAAGGGGTGTGGAATCATAGGATTAATACGCAAATCGAATAAAATAAAAAGGTTACGCAACAGTGCGTGAAATTCGGTAACATAGAATGTAACGTTGCAAAACAGAACTGATTTATTACAGGATTACACCATGAACTGACAGCGGTGAGAGACCCATTGGAAAACTTAGGAGTACTGGACAGCTGTTTCGTCCTGGTTTGGGACACTTCATCAGTGTGCACCCACCAAGACTTTTAAATCATTAACTAAACTATAAAATGTAATGATGCATATTATTGCATGTGTCATTTGTTATATTATTTATTTATTATTCACTGTGACCTAGAAATGGTATGATTTTGTTGGGGTTTTTATTTTTTTCCTATTAATTTTCAATATTTTTAACATTTCATACATTTATATAATTATAAAAAGAGCTAAACCAATGCAATATGTAAAACGAAACGCTGAAAATTCCATGCTGTAAATTGTTATTCTTGTGGAATAAAGTGATTATTATTATTAAGACAACAGTCCGGTACTCTTAGGTTTTCCAATGGTTCTCTAACCAATGTCAGCTCATGATGAAATCCAGTTAACAATCGAATCCCTACAAACGAACACTTGAATATCGACGAGATGCTCATTAACCACTTGCCCTATTCAGGTAGGTAGTAACCTGGGGTTCTATTGAGAATTCGTGACCAGTAGGGTGCAGCAGGTCGGGTGTGAGGACAAATACTCAATCCAGACATCGGCTAGTGGTTGCGCTATGTCGTGAATTGGCAGAAGTTAGGATTCATGGGCCATTGGATCTGGTCCCAGTAGCTTAAATAAAGTACGAGCTTGTTTGGTAACCAGAAGGTCCTCAGTTCGAACCTGGGTGGGTGCGCACTTCTGAAGAGTCCCAAACCAGAACGAAACAGCTGTCCAGTACTCCCAGGTTCTCTAATGGTTCTCTAACTAATGTCAGCTCGTGATGAAATCTTGTTACCGATCAAATTACCACAAACCAACACTTGAAGAACTGATTTAGAATGAGAAGTAGAACAAGTGAAGTAATACCGAGGACAGTTTAAAGTGAGAATAGTAAAAGTAACAATTGACGTTATAAAGGAAGAGTATGCAAAATGAATCAACAAAACGAAAAACATTGATATAGGGAATTAGGGATTACCATACTTTAGCATAGATGGACTAAGACTTTGAAAGTTGGAGGAGTTGGACGAACTTTTTCTGTGTACAGAGATCTGGCTTTTCTGTTTCCATAGCCAAAGCTTCAGCAATACAGATGAGTCGGGTACGTAATGATTTGGGTAAATTACTTTTTGCCTTGTAGATGACTTTAAAGGCGGAGGCAGTAGAGATATGGTGATCAGTATCGACTAGATCGCGGTACTTCTCCATAACCATAAAGGATATTGTTCTCGAACCCTCTTGGACAAAACTCTAGTCGAATGACCGATATACCTAGCTCTACACTAGCAGGTGAATTGATAAACGCATACAGAGATGGTCAGCAGCGGGATGTTGTCCTTCAGGTCACTGAACAGTAATGGTCGACTGGCAATGTCTATTCTCATGTAGACATTGTCTACTAATGCATACTTCCATTCTCGCAGTCAAAAACGGCCTGAAGATAGAAGTCAGTGGTCAGGCTATGTGGGTTACAATCTCCTTGAGAATGCCTGGGTGAAGACAATAGGCTTCCATTGATTTCTTTTACAAAGTGATCTATAGATATTCTGTCATATTCGTAATACGACATTCGCGGAGGCCGAGGATGTTCTGAGGGAACACCACAAAAGTAGAAGGTGGCATATTACCTAGGCCATACACCTATTTCACCCCCGTGATCACTAAATGTGAGATTCCAGCAGGTGGAGGAAACTGTTACCTGATCCTGCGTGTCAGTACCAGGAGATAATCGTAACATGTGGGAAAAATGTGTATACCTTAGTGATGAGATACAGCTGTATTTCTCTCTTTTGTTCTGGCTGATTTTTATGACAGCACACTTTTTCTCCCTTCTTTTCTCATGGATTCGCCCAAACTGGAGGTTCTTGGGTATGCGTTCATTTCTCTGTCAAATGTAAAAATGTTCTTCAAGAATAAGCCATCCTTATATATGCTCACCCCGGAGTTAGGTTGATACTGTTAGGTAACTGACTTAACAATCCTGAGAAGAAAAGGTCTATCTCATCGCTAACTTCCTGGAGAACACTTTTGTTTTATCGAGTTAAGGAATAGTTCGAGTTAACATACGCTTTCCACAGACACGTGAAGTCATACGGCAACGTAGATTCAATGAGGCATTCCTTGGGGAGCTATTCATGCCTTAAATTATCACAGCCAGCACAGAATGTGGTCGTAGCACCATAAGCAGTCTCCATCAGTTATTCAGATACCTGTCGACAGAATTCCGCAAACATCATTGTGGCTGGCAGAATGAGTTTGCTCGGTCAGCTTTTAATCACAAGAAAACGGGCTTCACAGTCACCCTATCAAATGCTGAAACTGTGCTCAGTGAAGTGACTCATATGACTAATCGAAACGTACACTAAATGGCGCCTACAACCCAAACTATTGATGGTATAATAATAACTGCCACCTAGATGCAGTACGTAGGAGCAGATGGTAGCTCAAGCGAGAATATCAAACACAACCCCAATGGTAATGAACGCAGTCGCTACGACACCGGTCATGAGTTAGGAATGCAAAAGCTTCAAACACCGTGACCGCCTAAAATACTCTCCCGACACAGGTTCAGATAGTTATCCACTCAAGTAGTGACATCAGCCAAACTTCATACCGGTAACAGACTGAAATATCTGTCAAAGTCTAGAGGTAACCACACTCTCTCAGGTGCACTG